CATATCATCGGCATCAATCATCTCATATCCATCATCGCTTCCTCTCGGTGGTGACCCGAGGTCCCGGCGGTCAATAGACGGATCTGCTGGCGGAGAATCGATCGGGGAAGGGTCAAGCTGCTGTAAAGACAAGAAGCTTGCCTGCGAGGCTCGACGATCTGGGGATTGGTCGAAATCCATAATGATACCACGCCCAGCGCGTTTAATATATGTATGACTGCAGAAACAAAGGACAAAGAAATAATATCTGGCGGGGGACAGAAAGCAAGAGATGACGGCGCGGGCTCGTGACAGGGAAGGGACTGGAAGTTTTTCCAGTTGGGATTAGCGCCTCAACGTGCTGGATTATCGGGGGAAAGCTTTCAAGACTCTGGGGCAGGTGGTTCTGGAAGCCCCCCTGTCGAAGAACCCCCTGGGAAAATGACGTTGAGGTTCTGGGAGCCCGGTCAGCAAGAGATGCTACGTTTTGATTGGTGGCGGGTGGAGGTTCTAGGCTTTAGCCAAACTGAGTTAGTGCCCGCACTCTTATCTGGATCGTGGTCACTGCTCAAACTTCGTTCATCAAACATCAGCAGCTTACAATAGTCACGGCACTTTCATCAACACCACGCTATCAGAGCTCACCTTCATAACTGTACTAGCAAGAATACACAAGAAAAATGCCTCCAGTAAGGTCAGAATATACTGGTGCCCATTCCTTGACTAACGCGTCATCAGCGACACCTAACCCTTCCCTCGGCGCAGACTGCTTCGGCACGTGAAGCTCAAAAGTCCTTCTACTGCCAGCTCTGCTCAAAAGGCTACTCACGCATGAATGACTATGAAGCTCATCTCAGCAGCTATGATCACAGTCACAAGCAGCGCCTCAAAGACATGAAGGCCATGGTTCGTGACCCCACCGCGGGCTCTCGTGCGCGCAAGGCCGAGGCCAAAGCCGACGGTCTCATCAGCATCAAGCTCCCTGGCCAAGAGACTACCACTGGTGGCGGAGGGTTCAAGAAAGGCGGCTTCAAGAAGAGTGGCTTCAAGAGTGCTTTCACCAAAGTTGAAGGTAGTGGACCTGCAGCAACGGCGGCTGAGAAACCCAAGCCAGCTAGTACACTCGAGTCAGCACCAGTCAATCCAGGCCTCCAGAAGAATCTGTCACCAGAAAGCGACACTGAAGACGAGGGCTATGAAGTCTATGACCCTCGGTTCCCCACCGACTGAGCTGCATCGGACTCATCTTAATTTACGAACATCAAACCAAAATTCTATTTGCGAGTAAAGTATCTATCCGGGTACTATCTATTTCTCTATTCTACATTGGCGGCCACTGTACACCTCCGATCTGCGATATATCCTGTTCCAACAATCCCAGCAAATTTCGACTTCCAGACATCCAGTCTGCTATTTGGTTGACTTGGGCGTTCTCACCAAACTCCGCATTTGGATCACCTGCATTGCCCATGGTCGAGTCCACAACAGGCATGAGTCCGAGCTGGCTCAAATACACGTCGAATTCGTCATTGATCGGCACCATTGCCTGGTCTTCCACTTGTTGAGACTTGGCTTCGACATACAGGGCCGCGACGTTGCTCATGATACTACATAGCCGCGACAGTTTTTGCATGGTCTCTGACGCATCACTGGTCTCTTCAATGGACGCACTGAACTGCTTCAACAGTTGGAGATCATCTTGTGATGATGTCTCGATGACATATCCGAACAGAACAAAGAAGGGGGCAAATGGTGTCAGCACCAGGTTCCTAAAACCTTTGTTAGATTCACTCAAAATCCGACGAACTGCCATGATGAACCTACCAATGGACATATATGGTTCTCGCGTGGGGGTCTTTCCGCACCAAATCCATGCATGCGAAATGCGCATGACAAGCCTTTCGGGCAGTGTCTATACAGTCTTGACAGAACCTTGTAGGTGACCCTTCAGGAGCTGGGACTGCTCTGTAAATGAGAGTCATGGTTGACAGCAACTGCACTTCGTCGCCCTTCAGGTGGACATCGACAAGAGGGGAAGCACCGATTTTCTCAAGCGACGAGATAGCCATTTCTCGGCTCCGAAACGAGTCCGCCTCGACACGGCGGCACTCAGCTGCCAGCAGACGGGCTCGTTCGGCGAGGACAGCTGGTGGTTGGCTTAATGCTGCCGGACAGAACCTAGCTTCGTTAGCTGCGAGTACTCTGGAACATGGATGCAGACGATAACACTTACAATTGCTCATAAACCTGACCCTGCAACGTTGCAGCATTAAGCCACGTACCCGCAACAGCTTTGGTTTCAAGGCTCAAGATGCCATCGAAGCCGAAAGTACGTGGAATAGTGATTTCCCAATCCTGGATGGCAGGGGCACGGCCTAATCGAAGTGCTAATGCTTTGTCCGTGGTATACGTGTACCAGAAAAGGATCGCCTTGAGGTCAGTATCCTCGGGGTTGCGCGTTGAGAGGTCCCTGCGGTGGAAACCGGCAGTCTGGCAAATTTGGGCGGCGGCACAGTTGAGATGCCAAGCCACAGATGGTCTGCAGACGTCGATGGTGTATAATGTCTAATGCTTTTGTTAGTGCACAGCATTTGCTTCGCCGGACTGACTTGTACTTACACCCATGAGGAGAGCCTGGACTGTTTCTGTCTTGGTCGACATGAAGAGAGACATGTTTGCCAGCGCAGTTTCCAGGTTGACGCGACTTGTGTAAAGGTGTGATGCAAACTCATCCTTCAGAGGTTTGTTGTCAATGGTCAAGTGGTGCTGTTCGAGAAACAAGTAATAGAGACCAACGTTGACGATGATGAAGGTGGAATCACTAAAGTCCTCTGTGGGAAAGTAGACCATTCGACAAAGGTTGGAAAAGTCGTTTATTCCAATGAAGTAGCAGACAAACGTGAAGAGACCTGGCGGAGAAGCTAGACAAAAGTCAGCGAATGGTTGCAAAGTTGATGTGGTCACTGTTACCTCTAACTCTCTTGAGCAAGTTCACGACAATATCCATAGGAGGCATTGGCAGTTGACCCAAGCCTCCCTTTGGGATGGGCTGCTGGAGTGGAAAACGGGGACCATGGCTGATGGACTGCCGACTCTGAAGCTCGGCCAACTGTCTCAAGTTTGCGAGAGCTTCCCACATCTTGGGACTCACATCGTTTAGTGAGGTGCGCTCGACGGCATGCTCGAGAAGGTCGCTAGCCAAGGTGGTTTGCTGGGCAATGATCGAATCACCACCCAGAACAGAGTCCTCATCGGAACTGTCAAAAGCCGCTGTAGATGCAGAGGCTGGATCGAGACCGGGGAAGGCTGCAGGGGTGACAGGAAAATGAATGTTACTTCCTGGAGTGGAGATGGGACGTTGGGAGAGATCCCGGAGGAGGCTTTCTATGTTGCCCAAGCGGACCTCAATTTGGTCGATCTTTCGTTCACTACGAGGCACGCATGCCAGCGGTTAGTGGATGAACTGCCTTATCTGGTTGGCAAACGGCTATCGGCGAAGCTGCATGGAGGGGACAAAGCGGCACCATGTGCAGATACAGCGTCTGGGGTAAAAAGATGATATGGGGTCACGAACTATTGGGATGAGATGAGAACTCTCTGCCGGGGCTCTTTGGGTCTCTGACCAACGCCTGTGGATGTACAGGAGCGCTTGGCCGTACGGCAGTTTGAGCATGGCCAGTCTTTATCGCATCGGATCTATATCATGCAGGTGTTATTAATACCATATATGTTGCAGCCTTTGTTTACAGAAACGTCCTGATTATGGGGTGTTTCTGGAGGCATTCATGGGTGATGCTCACCTTTCTCGTACGACACTGATCACACTGTGTTCACAAGAGTTCTTGTCAGCCCTGACATGCAAAAGGCATCGTTACATAACACAAGATATGGCTGAAGGGTGAAACTCGCAGCGGGCCGATGCAGCTAACAAGGCCATTCTGGCAGCACGGCACACCATTTTCGCGATTGATCGCATTGGGGTTGCCGTGTAAGCGATACGTGCGTGATACGCAAGCAGGACAGGCCGGGGGAGTCCACATTCTGAATAATGCCAACCCTGGAATTGGCTAAATCGGAAAACAGGCACTTACCGCTCTCCGGGCAGAGTCATCGGAAGCCGCGGGTCCGGTATTTGCTTGCCCGGGATCCATATCGAGTTGTTTGATAATAGGTAGGTAGAGATAGATAGGTAGATATGCGATGCGGCAACCTCCTTTTGGGTATTCACTTGCAGCCAAGGAATTGAGGCTGCAGCAGTAAGCTCAAGATCAATAAAGTGATAAGTTTTTTTTTTTTGCTCTGGTAATCGGAGAAAGCGATTAGGCTCTCAGATAAGATGACGACGTGTGTATTCCGGTAAGTATCGCGGATGTGAAGGGTGAAGGAGAGTAGAAGCGGGAGCCGCGGGGACCGATTGACGGCAGTTGAGGCGCCGGACTGTGGCTTTGGCGTGTACAGATTAGAGTAGGTAGTAATGTGGCGCGCGCGTCCCGGATCTGGTCAGCATCGAGTGTGGCTGTTTTGTCGCTAATAAGACATTATTGACCTTGTCGTGGGTATGTACAGAGTAACAATTGGAGAAACAGGGACTAACTAGAAATAACTAATGATATGGTAGCATTGATGCTCTATTGAGTTTTAACCAATTGTCACTGAGTTTGTTCATGTAGGACAGAGGTTACAGTGTACTCTGTGTCTGTAAGTTACCTTATGTAGGCCTTTAAACGAGGAATACGAAATCTAGGACAGGACTCTCGGGTTGTCAAAGATTAAGCAGGCGGCTCAATAATTACCCCGGGTAATGAGCCCTTCTGGGACACCTTCCAAAACTAGGTCTTACAGGTCAAGCCCCGTCGATCTTGTGGCTGTATAAGCTGATTGGTCAGTTCGTAATGACCCCGGGGTTTGCGGGTTGCGTCTAGACGTCAACGCCAAGAGCGAGCTTTCATTCTTTAAAGCGATCTCTATCTGCAGTTTATTTTGACTTGCTTCAACAAACTGCAGATCTCGGTCAACTCAATATGGCTGAAGCTAAAGAGAAAGAAACGATACCGACTGGCGGTTCACAATCTGGTTCTGCTGTATCGAATAATCAGGTCATGGCTGTTACTATTGAACACGACGGGGATGAAAAGGGTGATACAAAGGATGAAAAGAAGGATACCAGCTTCAAGTACTACCTGGCAAGTATCACAGTCACAACGATTGTGAGCCTCTACTAACAGCATCTGCAGCGCGTCTTTACTTACAACGATCGCTTAGGATGGATCCTCAACAGCATCGCATTCGTGGCCATGATCGCCGCTGGAACGATATTACCCCTGATGGACCTTGTTTTTGGAAAGTTCATCAACGTTTTTACTGATTTTGCAACTGGAGCGTTGTCGCCTGCTGGGTATCGAAGTGAAGTCAGCAAGTACAGGTATGTTTGCCAGCCACTGATTGCATTCAGATACTGACCATTGTTAGCTTGTACTTTATCTACCTCTTTATCGCAAAGTTTGCTTTGACATATCTTTGGACGGTAAGCCACTTACACGCAATATACTCATATAAAGATGGTGCTAAGGTGTAGATTCTCGTCTCTATTGCTGCTATCAACACCACAAAAGCACTGCGTGTCGACTTTGTACGAAGCACCCTTCGTCAAGAAGTTGCTTTCTTCGACTCTCCATCATCATCAATTCCTGGACAAATCACAACAAATGGAAATCTCATCAACCAAGGAATCTCCGAAAAGTTTGGCATCACCATCGCAGCTCTTTCAACTTTCGTCTCAGCCTTTGTCGTCGCTTTCGCCGTGCAATGGAAATTGACACTCATTGTCCTCGCTATCATACCCGTCAACCTCGTTGTAACAATCATCTGCGTCGCTATCGATACTGGCTATGAATATGCCATGTTTGATGTCTACTCGCGATCGAGTTCCTTGGCGGAGGAGGCTTTCTCGACTATTCGAACTGCTCATGCTTTCTGGGCGTTCCCCAAGCTATCCAATAGATTCACCGACACTCTTGAGGAGGCCAGGAGGATTGGTCATAAGAAGTCTTGGGTGTACATGGTTCTGTTCCCAACTGAGTTCTTTTGTATCTTTGCGGGTTATGGATTGGCTTTTTGGCAGGGTATGAGGATGTACTCTGAGGGTGAGATCACTCAGCCTGGTACAGTTGTTACGTGAGTCTTCCGCCTCTACCCTTACTTTGATGGCTTGACTAACTTGATCATTCTAGTGTCATTTTTGCAGTTCTTGTTGCTGCTACAGCTCTCACTCAAATCGCCCCCCAGACAATCGCCATCTCCAAGGCCACTGCAGCTGCACAAGAGATGTTTGAGATGATCGATCGCAAGTCTCAAATCGATGCTTTATCGCAGGAAGGAGACACAATCCCTGATTTCAAGGGCGATATCCAGTTCCGTGGCGTTCGCTTTGCGTACCCATCACGAGCCAACGTCGAAATCCTCCACTCACTCAACCTCGACATCCCGGCCGATCAAACGACTGCTTTAGTTGGTGCTAGTGGATCAGGAAAGAGTACTATCTTTGGACTCTTGGAGCGATGGTATATGCCAAGCGCTGGTTCTATCACTCTCGATGGACGCCCTGTTGAGAGCTTGAACTTGCAATGGCTGCGAACAAACATCAGAATGGTTCAGCAGGTATGTACAAGAATCTACAGTCACTGTAAGTTGAATTGATGCTGACTCATGTTCAGGAACCGACTCTATTCAGCGGCACCATCTATCAAAACGTTGTTGATGGCTTGACCGGTACCTCTATGGTGGACCTTTCAGAAGAAGAAAAGAAACGCATGGTTGTCGACGCCTGTAAATCGGCTTACGCCCACGATTTCATCGAGACATTGCCAAATGTAAGTCTCTCCTTGCCCTACAGGTTCCTTTGACTGACCCCTTTTCAGGGCTACGATACTTGGATCGGCGAGCGAGGCGCCTCTTTATCCGGTGGACAGAAGCAACGTGTAGTCATTGCTCGCAGCATCATTTCTAACCCTAAAGTCCTTATGCTCGACGAAGCTACCAGCGCTCTTGACCCCAACGCCGAAAAAATCGTGCAGCAAGCTCTCAACAACGTCGCCAAGGGTCGAACCATGATCGTCATCGCTCACAGACTCTCTACGATTAGAGATGCTGATAACATCATTGTCATGGCCAAGGGTGAAACTATCGAGCAAGGTTCTCACGATTCTCTGATTGAGCGAGGCGGTACATACTCGCGTCTTGTTCGCTTGCAGGATCTTGGAAAGGGAAGTGCTTCAACAGAAGATGAGGATAGTGAGACGGATAAGGAGGAGCCAGTTTCTGGCCTTGATCCTGTTCTGTCTCGCGCTTCTCAGCATGCTACAGCCGATATCTCGCAGGACGATGGAATCAACCATGGGCTGCTGAAGGGCCTTTGGCTTGTCATTAAGGAGCAGCGGTCGCTGTGGTTCTCCGGGTTCATTCTGGTCATCATATCATTATTGGGAGGTAAGTCTCATCACAAACGACTGTAGAAAAGGGGTAATCTTACAAGAACTAGGCGGTACTTACCCAGCATTGGCCATTCTCTTCTCCAAAACAATGAAGGCTTTTGAGACCATCGACGTCAGCGAGGCCAACTTCTTCTCACTCATGTTCTTCGTTGTTGCTCTTGCAAACTTTGTCATCTATGCTGTCGCTGGCTGGGTTTGCAATGAGATCGGCCAGGTAAGTGTCTTCACTTCATTGAGGCACACAAGACTAACTCTTCTCAGCATATTATGACTGTATATCGTGGCGAACTGTTCGACAACACCCTTCGACAAGACATGGTCTTCTTCGACGATCCCAACCGTGGAACTGGTGCTCTCGTTTCACGACTGGCTGCCGAGCCTACGAGTCTCCAGGAACTTCTATCCATGAACCTATCACTCATCATGATCAACATTGTCACTGTTCTATCTAGTTCCATTCTCGCCATTGCCTACGGCTGGAAGCTCGGTCTTGTTCTGACGCTTTGTGCTCTACCCGTTCTTGTCGGTTCAGGATATGTCCGAATCCGTCTTGAGTACAAGTTCGACGATGATACTGCTGGACGGTTTGCGAAGAGTAGCAGCTTGGCTTCTGAAGCTGTGTTGGGAATCAGGACTGTGTCTTCACTGGCCTTGGAGCGTGCTGTCATTGAGAGATACAGCAGTGCCCTTGAAGGACTTGCTAAGGAGGCAATTGCTGGTTTGGGATGGAAGATGTTGTTCTACTCTTTCAGTCAGTCGGCGTCTTTCCTGGCCATGGCGCTGGGTTTCTGGTAAGTTCAGCTGGAGTCTGAAGTCGAAAGGCAACACTAACAAGTAACAGGTACGGTGGCCGCCTTGTTTCTTTCGGCGAGTATACCACAGATCAGTTCTACGTCATCTTCATCGCCGTCGTCTTCTCTGGAGAAACATCAGCCATGCTCTTCCAATACACCACGAGTATCACCAAAGCACGAACCGCCATCAACTACATCTTCCAACAGCGTCGTCAAAAGGCCCTTCATGATGACGCAGACAATGGACCAGGAGCGTTGGGAAGTGAGAAGTCATCTGAGAAGGGTATTGATGTGTCTTGCGAGGAGATCACATTCGCTTACCCCCGTCGACCAAAGTTACAGGTTCTCAAAGGCGTCGATATCAGCATCGAATCAGGAAAGATGATTGCCCTAGTTGGTGCATCAGGTTGTGGTAAATCGACCATGATAGCGCTTCTTGAGCGTTTCTATGATCCGACTTCGGGTATGTTGCTTGCGGATGGGCAGGATATCAAGACGAAGGACAGACGCCTGCATAGAAGGGACATTGCTCTTGTTCAGCAAGAACCAGTCTTGTATCAGGGCTCTATCAGGGACAACATCTCCCTCGGTATCGAAGAAGGCGTTCCCTCTGACGAGGAGATCATTGAAGCTTGCAAACAGGCCAACGTCTACGAATTCGTTTCCTCTCTCCCTGAGGGTCTTACTACGCCCTGCGGAAACCAAGGTCTCTCACTCTCAGGGGGCCAACGACAACGTATTGCCATCGCCCGAGCTCTTATCCGCAAGCCACGCCTTCTCCTCCTTGATGAAGCTACAAGTGCTCTGGACACGGAAAGCGAGAAGGTCGTCAAAGAAGCCTTGGATAGAGCAGTTGAGGGAAGAACAACAGTTTCTGTGGCTCATCGACTGAGCACAATTCGAGACGCTGATGTTATCTGTGTCTTTGCAGGTGGAAAGATTGTTGAGAGAGGACGACACGAGGAGCTTGTTGCGAAGAGGGGTCTTTACTACGAGATGGTGTTGGGTCAGTCTTTAGATAGGGAGGCATAAGCATTAGACGGAATTGGCGTTCAAGGGAGTTGCCCTTAGGATATCAGGGCCAAATAGTACTTGAATCTTGCGATGTTTCTGGTTTGGGATTCTCTACTCATCTACTCATGGTTGAGTCCAGGATCAGGACGACCAATCTTTCTACTCTTTGTACACATTTATTATCACTACTTTTGTAATACAGAGCGGGCACAAAAGCTGTACGCAAATAGACTTCCAATTTACACACATCAGGTTGAATTTGACATAAGCCTGGCTCTGCCAATGTATCTCTTTTCACTTCATCTCAGAGCTGGCACCACGGCTTCAAGAGCAGATAGATATAGCACTGATAAGAGGAACAGTATTGAAGCACTCAACTGAATGTCAGTTGTTCATGTCACATTATGAAGTGGAAAAGAGAAGATAATGTGATCAAAACGTAGCCTGAACAAAGTCTAGAGCTCGTTCTATTCTGATCTAAAAAACATATCGTCGTATCTACTTTTGTCTAGGGCCCATCATAATAACTCAACATGCACTTTTACTAACCACGTAACACGCTCGCATCGCTTAAGCCAAGACCTTAACATCTCCCTCCTTGAGCTTGCCAGCCTCGACGAGTCGCTTGGTCTCGCCAGTCCAGACAGCCTTGATCTCATCAGCAACCTTGAGACCGTTGAGCTTACCAGCGAGAGCAGCAATCTCATCGGGGTCAATCTTGCCCTGGATGGTCTCGACATCGTTGAGAACGGAGTCGATGTCAGCGGGCGTGGGCTCGCCGGCAGCGAAGTAGTTGGCGTCCTTGACGGATCCCTTGAGGACACGCTTGTTCTTCTTGACAGCGTTCTTGGCAGCCTCCTTCGCCTTCTTGGAGGACTCACGGTCAGCCTTGGCAGCAGCCTCAGCCTCCTGGCGAGCCTTCTCCTCGGCGAGCTTGGCGGCCTCAGCGTCCTCCTTGGCCTTCTTCTCAGCAGCCTCGCGCTCGAAACGCTTCTTGTTCTTGGCGGCGTTGGCCTCCTGTCGGAATCGCTTGATGCGCTCATCACCGGCGGAAGCATCGTCGAGCAGCTTGCGGAGACGGGCATTGTCGTCAGCCTTCTTCTTCTTGCGAGCGTTGGTGTTCTTGCGCTCCTGGTGTCGCTTCTGGTCACGGTTCTCGTTGTCATCGGGGACATCCTCGTCGAGGTACTCGAAGGTTCTCCAGCTGTCGAAGTTGTACCAGAAGTTGTAGAACTCCTCGACCTGCTCCTTGGTGGCATCGGCACTGCCGAATGAGGGGACGGGGTGAGTCTTGGAGAAGCGAGCCTCAGACTTGAAGACCTTGCTCCATGCCTTGTAGTAGTCGGTCTTCTGGAGTTGCTTCTTGGTGGGGGGCTCGACATCGGCCTCCTCATCGACGGAGTCGAACTGGCGACGCTTGATGGGGTCAAGAAGGACGTCGGTGGCCTTCTGGATACACTTGAAGAACTGATCGTCCTCGGTACGGCCCTGAGCGGCCTTCTTATCGGGGTGGTGCTTGAGAACCTTCTTGCGGTGAGCCTTCTTGATCTGGTCCTCAGTAGCCTTCCATCGGTACTTGGAGAGGCCGAGAATCTTGTAATGGTCCTGGGTCTAGATTACGCTTGTTAGTATAGAACATTGACTCGAATCGTTGTAAATACATACCTTCCAGTCCTTAGCCTCACGCTGGAGCATCATAGGATCCTCAGGCTCGCTCTCGTCGCTGACGTCGCCATCCTCGACGTTCTTGGTGCTCTCCTGAGCCTGGATACGGTCATCCTCGGAGAAAGTGCGCTTGTGGCGGGCACGGCGAGCGTGGGCGAGGAAGTGAGGTCCAACGGGCTCGATGGTTCGCTGAGTGGCCTCAGTGAGCTTGCCGATGGGCTTGAAGTCCTTGTCGGCAGCCCAGCCGCTGGGAAGGGCGGGAAGGGGGATGGTCACAGTAGCCACGGAAGCCATTATGTGATGTGTGGATTTGGTGGTGATGGAGAGAGGGAGAAAAAATCACGACGTTTTTTTTTTTGGCTTGTAACAGTTTTTTTCAATGGCGCACTTAATCGTGTTCCCCCACCATGGATGGACTTAAATCATTGGCGGGGTAAAAGTTCCAGCGGACGATCGGACAGTTACAGTGGGAGGATGCTCTAGAATGCTCTACAATAGCGTTTTCATGTGTCCGGATCCGCCAAATATTCCCGGCTCAGTGATCGGCCCTCGCGGGAATCCGCTGAGCCGCGCGACTGTTGAAACCATCCAATCCAGTTGAACTTGAACTGGACTTTTTTTACTTTCAATTTCCAAGCCGTTTCAACTCGACCTCGACAACCCCAGCACGATACCCACGACCTCCTGTTACTCCAGTCCTTCCTATCAGTTCGAAGGCTTTTCATTCGCTAGAATTGTCAGATCACAAAATGGCCACCGCTCCAGCTCCAGTTCTCAATGCTTACCGACACCTAATGCGCGCGGCGCGAATCGCTTTTCAAGGTACGAAACCATTCCGGAAACGAACTTCTAGTGCAGCCGAGTTCATGTTCAAGACTGGTCCAATGGGTTATACTGACTATCAATTCACTGCAGGCGACGCCACTATCCTCTCTGCCGCTCAGCTTCAGATCCGCCACGAGTTCCGGCTAAAAGCCAAGGCCGATGCTGCCGATGCTGCTGCAGCGATTAACCATGCCGAAGAGGTAGCAAAGGTCCTTCGTCAGAATGTTGTTCAGGGTCAAAGAACAGAGGAGGGCAAGGACACCTTCAGTGCGTTCAGACGGGGTGGTAGAGCGCGAAAACGGAAGCTAATACCGCTTACAGAGCTGAGGATACACAAAGACATTGAGCGAGGCGATAACGAGTCTATCAAAACAGCTGGAAAAGGCACAGTTGGAGGTGGCTGCTGCGGTGGTGGTGGTAAAAAATGAGAGGAGACTACCTATTAGTCCCATTGTACAATTTGTAACATTATCTGACTGTCATGATACCCTCCAGGAATGAAATGCACCAAAATGATCATCACTCTAGAATAGCTCTTTGCTACCCATCTATTCCTGTTTCTCACATAATCTGCAACCTCCATGATCAATTGTCCTTTTCGCTAATGAAGACCACCTTATCCATGATGTCCTTTTCCCGACGCCAAACTCCAAAAGGCATGGTATTCTACCTTGTGATGAACATAAAACAAGTCGTTACTTCATTTAGTCTCCGGTAAGAGCGGCGTAAGCAGGTGTGTCGGAAGCTCCTGGGGGTGCTGCCACTGGAGCTGGCAGAGCCTGGCGGTTGGCCGAACTACCACCACCCTCGATTGATCGCTGGCCTTGAGATCCTCCCTGACGCTGTCTAGCATCTCGCAGAATCTGCGTTCTCTCATCCTTGTCCATAGTACCAATAGCCTTTGGTTGTCCCCATCGAACCCGTAGAGGGCATCCTGCAATAACGGCGCGACCTTGGCATGCTTCAGCTGCCCTCTCAGCTGCCTCTCGAGTTTCGTAGTTGACAAATGCGCAGTGCGACATGTGTGAGCATACCAAGCTCTTGATCTTGCCGTGAACCTTGAAGAAATCGCGAAGCTTGTACTCGGGGAGATCGTCCTCGATACCCGTCACGAAGAGCGACATGATGTTCTTGTCGGCTGGAGGAGCCCAGTCGCGTGGGTTAGGAGGGAGCTGAGCAGCACTGGGGAAGACCTGGCGACCCTTACCACCAGTTCTAGCTCCCGCAGCAGCCGCTGCCTTTGTGTCTCGGGTTCGGATTGGGCCAGGTCCTCCAAGACCAGCGCCTACAGCTGCGTTTCCACCCTTGGAGCTCTCTCCCTCCTCGATAGTCCTGCCTTTACGAAAGTAAGGCTTGCTGTTGGCGAGTCTTCGTAGCAGTTCGCGCGCCTTCTCGTCCGTCTTTTCATATTCCTCCTGCCCAACCTTTCCTTCCTCGATGAGCTGCTCATTGTTTTGCGCAAAGTATTCGCGGTTGATATCTGACTGCGGGCCGGGCGCGACCATCTTGAGAGCGGCATCGCGAACGACGATGGGGAGACCGAAGGAAAGATCGAGCATGCAGCATTGGCAGCAGTTCTTGAGTCGCGCGCAAGTCAAGCAAATGTTTGTTCGCTTCTTACGGCCGTTGGCGCGAGTACCGCTCCAGGCGAATACGGTGAAAGGTCTGGTACACTATTCAGATATATGTTAGCATTGTATGTATGCAACGACGCGAAAGACTTACCAATTTGCATTCGGCACCATAATCTTCTTTAAGCATCTTGACATAAGGGTTATCGGGTAGACACGTCTCGCAGACGGAGGGAAAGTCAGTGGTCTCCCATCCTGATCGGTTGAGATCCTGCTTGATCTGAGGCGGCATCGTGAATAGTATAGAGAGTAATGATTTTGCGCAGAGAAAAGCTTCTAGTTGACTGTGATGACTTTTGGAGTTGAGGCGCGGAAATTCGGTCATCCGCCACCTTATGTAATACAAAATATGGCCTCAGACTCCAAACCTAAAACCGGAGTTGGCCGTTAGTTATTGGGCAGAGGGGTCATAGTCTTATCGATAAGCCACGGCAATAACATCTCCTGGTCATCTCGGACAGATGTAAGTGCCCAATCGTGACTGGATCATTCATTTTGGGGGATTTGCACAAGACAGATCGATAATCTGATAGCTTCGTCATAAGATCTATTTTCCGTCATCTCTTACGTTAAAGTTCTGGAGTTGTTTGTTGTTAGTAGATCTGGGGGCTTCTCATGATATGAGGTGGACATGAATGGTTCGATACGAAAACGAAAATTCTCTATTTGGCAATTCAAAAGTTGGAGAAGTCCAAAACATGATGCAGCATTGCAGGTAATATGATGACTAGCTATCATCATGACGGAAGCTGTCCGGCTACAGCCTACAGAACGTAGTATGTAGTGCACTCAATTGTTTAGTTGGTTGTCATGACTTGCATTGTTATCTTTTTGTAAGAGACAATGTTCTCGTAGACGCTTTCGTATTCGTATCATTTCTCGCAAATTGAGCCTCCGGATACCTCTTCCTAGCATCCATCAATTAGCTGCTGCGCTCTCACCGCCATACAATTCCGAATTGTGGCGAAAGGAGATATAATTACAAGGATAATTTGGACAATTAATGCAATAGCAAATCAAAGCTTTTCCAAAGAAATCAACAAACTCTTTCAAGTCCTTGTCTTTCACATGAAGGCCAAAGTCATGGAGAGTTAACTTAGCATCTGTAAATTACTTCGGGTCGTAAACTATCGGGTCGCCTAGACCAAGAACCCGGGCCCCCTAGACCCCCAAGCGATAGACAGGGGAACTAATGCAGTTCAAGTTTAGCGTACTGTTACTTCTCAATTCGCAATTGAGATTGGATGCCCAGAGACGGGATGGCTTGTGCAGTTCAGGGGAGGGCCCTGAAATTTGTTTGTTGCGACAGGTACTCCGTAGTCCCTCTGCGTAACCTTCAGCCATTAAAACCAACCCACTCCCTTTAGATTTCTACTTTTCAATCGATCTTTAATTCGCCTGCTGTCCTTCTCTTCTTTGCATTGACTTCGATTCTCTTCCAACCTTACCTTCAACTTCAACACTTTACACCATATTCAACATGGTTGCCTCATCTACCGCCTCCAACCTCGAGCGCGAGGATCACCAGCGCGATGCCGACTTCAACAAGGCCATGCACGGCACCTCTGCCCAGGCCCGAGGTGGTGTTGCTGCCATGTTCCGAAAGGGCGGTTCTGCTAAGCAGGCTGCTGTCGACGAGTACTTCAAGCACTGGGATAACAAGCGCGCTGAGGACGAGACTCCTGAGGAGCGAGCTGTATGATCCCTTGATATGCCCCGCCACCAACAAATAGGAGGAACTAACATAGCGGTCAGGCCCGTACTGCCGAATACGCCACTCTGACTCGACAGTAAGTGATCTGATTCCTGTCTCTGTTTCTCCGTGGCCTTTTGGTCCATGTCTTGGAATATCTCTTTTTGGACTGTCGACTGACTTTGGGTTCGCAGCTACTACAACCTTGCTACCGATCTCTACGAGTATGGCTGGGGCCAGTCTTTCCACTTCTGTCGATTCTCCCAGGGCGAGCCCTTTTACCAGGCCATTGCCCGCCATGAGCACTACCTTGCTCACCAGATTGGCATCAAGGAGGGCATGAAGGTTCTCGATGTCGGTTGCGGTGTTGGTGGTCCCGCTCGCGAGATCGCCAAGTTCACTGGCGCCCACATCACCGGTCTTAACAACAACGATTACCAGATTGAGCGTGCTACCCACTACGCTTTCAAGGAGGGTCTGTCAGACCAGCTCAAGTTTGTCAAGGGTGACTTTATGGTTCGTACTGCCCAGCATCCTCGGGTCCCGACCCCCAGCTAATACCCCTTTTAGCAAATGTCCTTCCCTGACAACAGCTTCGATGCCGTTTACGCCATTGAGGCTACTTGCCACGCCCCTACTCTCAAGGGCATCTACAGTGAGATCTTCCGAGTTCTCAAGCCCGGTGGTGTCTTCGGTGTGTATGAGTGGCTCATGACCGACGAGTACGACAACGATAACCTCCGCCACCGTGAGATTCGATTGGGTATCGAGCAGGGTGATGGTATCTCCAACATGTGCAAGGTCTCTGAGGGACTTGACGCCATCAAGGACTCTGGTTTCGAGATGCTTCACCACGAGGATCTTGCCATGCGCCCTGATGCTCTCCCCTGGTACTGGCCCCTGGCTGGTGAGCTCCGCTACATCCAGTCCGTTGGTGACATCTTCACCATTGTGCGCATGACCACCTGGGGACGAACCATTGCCCACGGCCTGGCTGGTCTTCTTGAGACATTCAAGCTTGCTCCTGCTGGAACCAAGAAGACTGCTGACAGTCTGGCTCTTGCTGCCGACTGCTTGGTCGCCGGTGGTCGGGACCACCTCTTCACCCCCATGTACCTCATGGTGGCTCGCAAGCCTTCCGCGTAAAGTAACAGGCTTATGACAACAAAATTCCAAAACAAAAACATCTTATGAAGATCAAAAAGGGCATTTAAATCATGCTGGCTGATGATGCATACATATATGAAGTGGCCGGCCTCAAGATATAGAGGATCCAGAAGGCAGAGGAGTTTGGGGACAATACTGGCTTATAATTGTAATATACATACCATACAATTTCAAATTTCTTGTCAATGATAGCCTGACTGGCTTATAATTGTAATATACATACCATACAATTTCAAATTTCTTGTCAATGATAGCCTGATTGGCCATGATACAACATTAATTGAATCATATCAAGATTTGGTACTGAGGTGATCTCTTGGCGGTTTCTTGTTTCTCCGGCACCATCATCTGACTGTATCCAGGCTAAGGGAGGAAGAAAACCTAGGATCTTGGTCCTAGGTGATAGAATGATCTAGGTAATTTGGCATAGATTTAGGGAATTCTTTACTGAATTTATTATGACACCCTATATAAAGGTCCGATGTTTTCTTGCTCCTCTAGGCCAAGCAGATAAAGCACTCAGTTTTTATGTTTTTTGGTGGAGATGGATGGTCCCCCAATGCGCCCCTGGATCCCCCAACAGACTTTCGAAATGGGTCGGAGGGTTCAGTTCTGAGCTGTGATAGGCGCTTCAGCGCTAGAGGCTACCCTGCGAAAACAGTGCTGCAGTGAGTGGCAGGGGTCGCATCAGAGTTGCTGTAGGCGGGGAGCAAGAGAGGGATAAAGCTGCCCCGAGCTAACGGAGGCTCACTCGGGGGTTTTGGAGAGCGGGTACACCATTAGTCACCAGAAATTGGTGAGGGCTCAAGTACCTCGCAGTTCCGGCACGATACGTACCGACTGGCCCAAAAAAAAACTGATAGCTGGCCAGCGAAAGCGTTGTTCGGTGAAATTCCCTCTCTCAACCCGACCTGTTCCATTTCTCAACACCAACTTCAGTTCATCACCATTTTCAATTCCCACGTCAAAGTCGACGACCAGGGAATTAAGAGAAGCCTGTCCACTGCAGCTTCTTGTCTTTCAAGTTCTGTTCTCTCTTCCCTGTCGACCCTCCGACCTCGTCCTCTCCGACTCCACGGTCAATTGACTTGTTCAACAAACCGCCGCACATCATGTCTCGCATTCTCCGACCCGCAGCTCGCCTAGCTGCTTCGACCCGGGCTCTTCGCGCTCCCGCTGCCCCTTCGTTCGCCCAGTCTGCCGCCGCTCGCGCTGCTCTTGCTCGACCTGTTGTCTTCGGTTCCGCCCAGACCCGATCCTACGCCGACGCCCAGAGCTCTGGTGTCAAGGAGGTCACTGTCCGAGATGCGCTCAACGAGGCCCTCGCTGAGGAGCTTGAGCAAAACGAGAAGGTCTTCATTCTCGGTGAGGAGGTTGCTCAGTACAACGGTGCCTATAAGGTGACCAAGGGTCTTCTCGACCGCTTCGGTGAGAAGCGTGTCATTGATACTCCCATTACTGAGTCTGGTTTCTGTGGTCTCGCTGTTGGTGCTGCCCTCAGTGGCCTTCACCCCGTCGTAAGTACCTCAGCTTCCGCATCGTGATTGCTCGAGACTCTAACCACTGTGCTTCACCAATCTAGTGTGAGTTCATGACCTTCAACTTCGCCATGCAGGCCATCGATCAGATCATCAACTCTGCTGCCAAGACCCTCTACATGTCTGGTGGTATCCAGCCTTGCAACATCACCTTCCGTGGCCCCAACGGCTTCGCTGCTGGTGTCGGCGCTCAGCACTCCCAGGACTACTCCGCCTGGTACGGCAGCATCCCCGGTCTCAAGGTCGTCTCTCCCTGGAACTCCGAGGATGCCAAGGGTCTCCTGAAGGCCGCCATCCGCGACCCCAACCCCGTCGTTGTTCTCGAGAACGAGTTGATGTACGGACAGAGCTTCCCCATGTCCGAGGCTGCCCAGAAGGACGACTTCGTCATTCCCTTCGGTAAGGCCAAGATTGAGCGATCCGGCAAGGACCTGACCATTGTCTCCCTCGGCCGCACTGTTGGCCAGTCTCTTGTTGCCGCCGAGAACCTCAAGAAGAAGTACGGTGTTGAGGCTGAGGTTATCAACCTGCGATCCGTCAAGCCTCTCGATGTTGAGACCATCATCCAGTCCGTCAAGAAGACCGGCCGTCTCCTGTCCGTCGAGTCTGGCTACCCTGCCTTCGGTGTCGGATCTGAGATCCTTGCCTTGACAATGGAGTACGGCTTCGACTACCTCGATGCCCCTGCTGCCCGTGTCACCGGTGCTGAGGTCCCTACCCCTTACGCCCAGAAGCTCGAGGAGATGTCCTTCCCCACCGAGCAGCTGATTGAGGACTACGCTGCCAAGGTCCTCCGTCTGTAAAAAAGAGAAATGAGGATTGAGAGAGAGATATAGTTTACCTGCTCGAGCATGTCAGGTCGACGCCCATGCCTACGTATCGTGTGTATGACAGAGCTTGCTTCATGCTACCCATCGTGGCATATGAATTGCGATGCGGATGAGAATCTGGTCCAATTGGCGTATTTGATGGACACTTTTTTGATAGACGTGCGGAAGGGAAGGGAAATGTAATTTTACCGCGTGTTGCCATGTATAGTCAGGGCATAGCATCCGTCTTATTAATGATCTACCAATTCACGTTTGTGCATCCCTCACTGTGACATGTGTTTGTAGTTTGCTATGCCTTTGCTCCGAGGCCATCCACATGAATATTCAGATCGAAGTCCAGACAATTTTTGTAGGTGCAGGGTAGTCAATGTGGAGCTGTAAGCTCTTATGAGCGTCCCGCCATGAATGTCAGAATCACCAACGTCAATGGTGGGGCAGTCTCAACTCGGAGCTTTCATCACTTCAATATACATTTTACCATAACGAATTCAGCCTCACAGTCTTGCCTATAAACTGGCTCACAATTAATAGGCATGGCTGGTATCGATGCTCTCCTTGAAAGAGGGCCTGAAGAGACCGGTCAACGCCAACCTGCAACTCAAGATCCAGAAGAGCTCAAGCGACACCTGGAGGAGCTCCTCCTCTCACCCTCAGCTGAGTTCTCACCAGACTGGCTCAACCGACTTCAGCAGCGATGGGATTATGAGGCCGATTACACTTCGCTTTACAAGGTTGCGCCGCCGCATACTCGAACTCTCACCAGATTTCAGCGTCATGGACTTGAAGGGCGTGTTACAGGCTACAAGAACGTCACTGTCCCCGCAAACAGTGCCACAGCCAAGAACTCGACAAGTCTATCTCGAAAGCCTGCTAATCGCGCTGATTTCGTGAGAGGCGCCGCTGGGTTCTTTCCCTTCGCTCCTGGTGGTCTTGATGGCATCGAGGCAACAGCGGCGTTTGAGGATCAAATTCACACAGGTGCTACAGGAGGTCCTACAGAGACCAGTGGTTCAGGAAACAAGCTTGAACGAGTGATCCAGCTTGGTTCCGAGGGAGGATTACTAGAAAAGGCTCCTGGAATGAGCAGAGGTATCGACTTCACAAAGAAAAAGACAAGTATCAGCCAAGAAGATGCCAACGCTGTCAAGGAGGTGCTCGAAGAAGACCCAGAAGATGCCAAGGTCGAAGAAGGTGGCAATGAAGCTTCAACAGATGCGACTACCCCCGATGCAACTCCCGACGAAACTGCTGAGGATGGTGATGATATCGACGACATCCTGCCTGTTGAGTTCCCCGCCCTGGAACCTCATGGAGTTCTTGCAGCCTCGAGTGCTCGCAAGGCTGGTCGCGAATGGGCGCATATGGTCGACATCAACCATGATATGTCCAACTTCAGAGAGCTCGTACCTGACATGGCTAGAGAGTGGCCCTTCGAACTCGACACTTTCCAGAAGGAAGCAGTGTACCACCTGGAGAACGGCGATTCAGTGTTCGTTGCAGCACATACTTCAGCTGGCAAGACTGTTGTGGCAGAGTACGCCATCGCCCTGGCTGCTAAGCACATGACGAAGGCCATTTACACATCACCAATCAAGGCACTGAGTAACCAGAAGTTCCGTGACTTTCGACAGACCTTTGACGAGGTGGGTATCCTCACTGGTGATGTTCAGATCAATCCCGAGGCTAGTTGTCTCATCATGACAACGGAAATTCTTCGAAGTATGCTCTACAGAGGCGCCGATCTGATCCGAGACGTTGAGTTCGTTATCTTCGACGAAGTCCACTACGTCAACGATTTCGAGCGAGGTGTTGTCTGGGAAGAGGTCATTATCATGCTGCCTGAACATGTGTCTCTCATCCTACTGTCTGCCACAGTTCCAAACACTAAGGAGTTTGCATCGTGGGTTGGACGAACGAAGCAGAAAGACATCTACGTTATTTCGACACCGAAGCGACCTGTTCCCTTGGAACATTATCTCTGGGCTGGAAAGAACATCCACAAGATCGTGGACTCGGAGAAGAAGTTTATCGAAAAGGGCTGGAAGGACGCACACTTTGCTATTCAAGGAAAGGACAAGCCGAAGCCTGCAGAGACTACTGTTGCCACTCGTGGAGGCAATCCCCGGGGCAATCAACGTGGTGGTACTCAGCGAGGTGGTCCCCAGCGTGGTGGACGTGGAGGAGGCCAACAGCAGAGAGGAGGCAATCAACAACGTGGTCGTGGCGGACCACCACGAGCGAGCCATGCCCCTGGTCACATGGGTCGTGGAGGTCGCGCTGGAGGTTTCACATCTGTGGCACAAGACAAGAACCTGTGGGTTCATCTTGTTCAGTACCTCAAGAAGTCGACTCTTCTGCCAGCTTGTATCTTTGTCTTCTCAAAGAAGCGATGTGAGGAGAACGCAGATGCCCTCAGCAACCAAGACTTCTGCACTGCTGCTGAAAAGAGCCATATTCACATGATCATCGAAAAGTCAGTTGCACGGTTAAAGCCTGACGACCGACAGCTTCCACAGATTATCAGGCTGAGGGAGCTCCTCAGTCGAGGTATTGCTGTTCATCATGGTGGACTGTTGCCTATTGTCAAGGAGCTGGTTGAGATCTTGTTTGCCCAGACATTGGTCAAGGTACTGTTCGCTACAGAAACCTTTGCTATGGGTCTTAACCTTCCTACACGAACAGTAGTCTTCTCTGGGTACCGCAAGCATGACGGACATTCGTTCCGAAACTTGTTACCAGGAGAGTATACTCAGATGGCCGGTCGTGCTGGTCGTCGTGGTCTGGATACCGTCGGTTCAGTCATCATCGTGCCACCAGGAGGCTTGGACGATGCTCCTCCTGTTGCAGATCTCCGAAACATGATTCTGGGAGAGCCGTCTAAGTTGCGATCACAGTTCCGACTGACATACAACATGATTCTGAATCTCCTCCGAGTCGAGGCATTGAAGATCGAGGAGATGATCAAGCGCAGTTTCTCTGAGCATGCTACTCAACAGCTACTCCCTGAACACGAGAAGGACGTGAAGCTAGCGCAAGCAGATTTGGCCAAGGTCAAGAGAGATTCTTGCGAGATCTGTGACGTTTCAATGGACGAATGCCATCAAGCGTCCCAGGACTTCAAGAGACTCACATTTGAGCTGTACAAGGGCTTGCTGTCTATCCCTATTGGACGTAGAATGTTCTCTCAGCACCGACTTGTCGTGTTCAACTGGGACGGCATTCGCTCCATCGGTATCCTCCTCGCAGACGGAATTAGTAATAAAGGAACGACGGAGGATCCAACACTACACGTATGCGCCATCAAGTCACTTCGAGATCGACGAGATGCTACCGATCAGCTTCCTTTCATCCCTGCATTCCGCAAATACCTCCACGAACTTCCCAAGAGTAAGAAGCGAGTGCAGACTAAGACTCTTCATGTTCCTCTGAGTGACGTGGAGTGTCTCACAAGATGGGTGACCAAGGGCATTATTCCTGAGATCTTCCAGGGCGGAGATGGCTATCAACAGGCGAAAGACAAACTTCAAGAGCTTTGTGGTTCATGGGATGATAGATGGGAGGAACTCGATCTCTCCCGAGTCAAACAACTACAACTACAGGAGATTGTGGAGAAGAGAGTTGAGTTGGTCAAGACGATATCGAACTCGCCAGCTGAGAAGTGTCCAGACTTCTTGAAGCATGTAAGTCTACCTCGATATCCTTGAAACACTTCAATACTAACGATATGGGCAGTTCGCTATGTGTCACGACGAGTGGCTCATCAAGGATCATATTTTTCAGCTTAAGCAGTCATTGTCTGATCAGAACCTTCAACTTCTACCCGATTACGAACAGCGAGTCCAAGTGCTTAAGGAGCTTGGCTTCATCGATGATGCCACTCGGATCCAGCTCAAGGGCAAGGTCGCCTGCGAGATTCACTCCGGTGATGAACTGGTTCTGACTGAGCTCATTCTTGACAACGTCCTCGCCGACTACGAACCCGCTGAGATCGCAGCTCTTCTTTCGGCGTTTGTATTCCAAGAGAAGACCGATATAGAACCATCCCTGACTGGCAACCTCGAGCGAGGAAAGGAGAAGATTGTTGCCATCTCCGAGAAGGTGAACGATGTGCAGACCCGACTGCAGGTCATTCAGTCAGCCGATGACTCCAATGACTTTGTTTCTCGACCACGGTTTGGTATCATGGAGGTGGTCTACGAGTGGGCTCGAGGTATGAGCTTCAAGAACATCACCGGCTTGACCGATGTCCTTGAGGGAACGATTGTACGAACGATTACACGATTAGATGAGACATGTCGCGAGGTGAAGAATGCGGCGAGAATTGTGGGTGATCCCGAGCTATATCAGAAGATGCAACAGGCACAGGAAATGATTAAAAGGGATATCACGGCAGTGGCAAGTCTCTACATGTAAGCCCAGCATGGTTTGGAGTATCTGGCATTTGTACGGAGCGTGTAATGTACGTCACGAGCGAAAAGGCAGAGCGAGTGTCATGTCTAATGTATGATGTTGATAAACAATAAAGAAAAAATTGCGTTCATTCTCGAAGTCGGAGATGAAGATGAATTTATGTCGCCACCAAAGCCCCAACGCCAAACCCTTAACCAAGAAAACGCACCTCTCCGAAAGTTGATCGTGATGTATCTGTCATGCCGCCCTATCGCATAAAATGATGGACATTCAAATGTCCTAAACCCAGCAAGTTCTCCTGTGAAAGGCAAGACTATGCGCGCAGGGCTCGCAGCCTCTGCTGGAGCTTATCTTCCTCCTCGGCGGTAGGCTCATTGGTCTGCTGAGGCTCGGCGTTCGAAGGTGTCGCCTGGTTGAGTTCCTTGCTGAGCTCAAGGCCGGCGTCATCGGCAAGTTTGCCGAGAAGTTCATGGACAGCGTCCTCGCCGACTTGGGTAGAGGTGGATTGGGTGATGGCGTCCTGGTAGATGCCGTTGGACATGGCGTATTCTTCGTTTTGCTGCTTGAACTGTTCGAGAGTAACGAGGGTCTAGGCTACTGTTAGTGTCGGTCGGTATTGAATAGATAACAAATGTGCTCACCTTTTCGGGGTTGGTGTTCTTCTGGGCCACGTTCATGGTTCGTGATGACTGGGCCATCATCTGTGTCATGCGGTTCATCGAGTTGTTGGCCTGAATCTGCGCAGCAGACAACTCGGCCATATCAGCCATCTGATCCATCTGCTGGGCAAGCGCCTGCTTCGACAGCAGCATCTTGGCCTTCTGGTAAGCCTTCTGCGTCTCGCCCTTTTTTAGAAGGTCCTGGATCTGCTTCTTCAGGATGGGGTCCTGCTTGGCTGCCTTCTGGGCCTCGCGGCGAGCCTGCTTGGCTTGGAAGCGAGCCTGGAACTCGACTTGCATGTCGCGGGCCATCTGACGGTTCGCCATTGTAGGTGGTTGGTTGTGGTTGATGGTAGGAGTCGCGGAGGAAGAGTTTTTTACGGTTGAGTAGTAAAGTTGGAAGAGGTTGCAAATGTCATGTGAGTGTTAAAACTTTAGGTGAAGCAGGCATGGAAGCGCCGAAGGCCTAGAATCGGAACCTTGACTTGGCTTGCGATGGGATGGTTGAATGCGGGGCGCCACGAAAGACAGGCTGGAGAAGTGGGCGAATGACGCAACGAACGGCGACGGATAATTTTGGCGGAACTGATAAGGCTCTGATTGCCGCTTTGCACAGCCACTTCCAGATGGCTTGTTACATTGATCTAGGGTAGTTTCGACTGCAGTGAATCGCCAAATTTATCAACAATGAACTAATAGTCAGTGATGGTATCGACAGTAGTACTTTACTAACGATAATTGAGATACTCAATCGAATGCCTTTGTTGCTGATAGTGGCCTAGGCCCGATATTTATGAAGATAATGGGCAATAGACATCCAGACTCTGGTTGAAATGCTGAAAGGCCTTCGCACATAATCAAGTATACTTCATCAATCATGCCGTTTTAAGTAGTCTTGTCTTATAAAATTATGGATATAATTATTTGCTGCAGAAGGCAAGAACACAAAAGCAATCACGCATCTCTACTATCATATTCCGCCAAACGAGCTGCTACGCTTAAGCAGTTGCGAGCATCTCAAGCTTCTGAGGTGACGCACACAAATACTCAAACGAAGGAAGGGCTTATAGAACCATCTTTAGCAAGAACGAACGACTTTCGACTTGACGATTCAAGATGTGATGGCTATTGAAACGATGCCGAAACATCGGCTCAGGTTTGGTGACTTATACGCGTCGTTGGCCTATAATTGTTTGAAGAAATAAAGTTGCTACAACATGAGAGCATTCTAAAAATATCGAATATGAAACATGGACCGCAAGAGAAACAACAAACAACACTCGACAAACGTCAGTGACCTCAAGAACAGGCATAAACGCTACGAGGCCGCAGGACTCAGGATACCGTTCAAGAGCAGCGGCCGTCATGACGTCCCGTGGGCGGCCGCATATTACTAGGCCTTCGGTATGTGGAAGTTCTGTTGGAAAAATCGAGACATGATACTCCGTAACGAAGGTCGTTATAAAACAGGCCCAGGGATATCCTGTCAATCGGCAGTTCGGCTTGGATGATAAGCATTAATATCCCACATGCCGATTTGCGTATCGCCGCGTACTACACATTTCGTTGCGCAAGACGAGCAATCATCTATCCTGACGAGTCCAAGCTTGGACTTGCTGCGATCATCAGAGTCTGTTTCCCACTCAATGTCTGGTCCTAGCAATGCTTGGTTAAGGGGCGGCGGGTGGTGCCGTAACGGTCGCACGCGAAGAGGCCGGGCGAAAACAGAGGTTGGAAAGTGATCAATGCTGAAGTTTTAGCTAATGAGACTTGACTCAGTCACGGATATGAGATTGGAGATGAGCAGTTCATATCATGGTGAGAGGAAGTGGGTTCACTGTGCTTCCATCGACTTCTTCTGATACTAACAAAAGTACGGGGCCGGCCAACCTGACACAATGGGGAACGCGTTGAATAGGTATGAGATGAGATTCTTTGATAGGACATGGCGTAAGTCAGAGATGAAGATAATATTCGATACGGCCCCGGCAATAGAGCACAGGTTTGAGATTAATTAATTGGTTCAATTAAGCTCAGATGAGCCCGATATTGCAAACCAGGGGTTTACGCTACGTTTTGGAACGAAGTCTCCACCAGCTCCTCTTGCATCGAGACCTTCACTTCACTGGCGCGCGAATCTACTGTATGGTCTGACTATGGTATGGGACTATACATCTCCGGCGGAAGAACTATCGTGGGAGCTAGGGGCAAGAGGCGAGCTGGACAGGCTAAAAGGGATAGACCATCGGTATCCTTGGGTTCGAGGGATTAGGAAAGGGGGTTCTTTGACGATCAGGGTCGAACGATGGCAGGGAAGGGAACGGGAAGATCACTTACAGTGAAACAAGGTACTCCTGAGACATGCCAGAAACGAGGGCAGAGGCAGAAGAGGCAGAAGAGGCAGAAGAGGTTGAACGTTCGTTTCTCCCTGCGACTTTAACCGTTGGCATGTCTCTCCCTTCCGTGTCTCGAAGAGGAAATCCCTTGAGCTGACGGGATGGGATGGGCGGTTGGTAGATTGGCCTAGATCCCTCCCCTTCCCTTCCCGCTCGAGACGAACGAGATCTTTGTCTCTGTCTTGTCTTGTTCAGTTCAAGTTTCGCCAAGCAAAGGGGGCCCCATTTCGTAGCGAGGTCCCAGCTGCATGGCATTGGCATTGGCAGGTCTCAGAGAACTAAAGTAGCGTTCCATTCCAGGTCGCGGGGAGGCGATCCGTAGCACTACAAGGGGGAGCTCGACCGAAGAACCGGTGAATTTGAATTTGAATTTGGAGAATGGAATCGTCGACCATCTTCACGAATGAGAAAATCTGCATGTTCCGTCTCAACTCGGTATTGAGGCTTGAAGAGCCAAAGCTGAACTTTACTTGAGACTTTGATTCACCGACTTGAACAATTCCATCAATCAAGGGAGCTCAACAAAACCCAAAGTGCAGATGTCAGGCGCTTCACCGCATCTCAAGGTATCTATCTATCTCGGCAGTGGAGAATCTGGTGAGGGGATTCGCGAATATCGCCAATCTTAATGCATATCAGTTATCGCCTGCCAGACCGACTTATCAAGGTTCTCTGTTACATTCAATCGCTTGACAGTTTGTCCCTGCGTAAGCTGAACTCAAAAATGCAAAGCTTGACGAAAAGTAAAATATGTAGTTCTGAAACCTGGTAGCCTCAACCCTAAGCTCTGAGCTGAAGGCCCGATGATCTCAACAATCAAGGAATAACAGAGCCAAGATGAGCGACTGTCGATGATGGCGATATGGGGGCATTTGGTGGATAAAATGGAGTGCCTTGAGTTGAGATTCCAGAGCCAGCGAAACAAATGGAGGAGGTGGTATTTCGGTGGATGGCGGATGAGTCCCCGGTAGGGCCGGCGGTACAATGGCAGCAGCTTAGCCTTAGCTTACCTTCAGGCAGTTTCTTTTCTTGGAACACGGACGGGCACACACGAGAAAGCAAAACTCCACTTGATGAGGCGTCAGTCAGCGTCAGCCCAGCTTCTAAGTTGGGACATCACCGCTGATACCTAGGTATAGAAGAGACGACGTCGTCTTACGAAGGTTGCATACAAATGCTTCGTTACGAGTCTCGTCTGTCACGTAGCAGCAGTAGCACCGATAATGTTTCCTGAGGCGCTGTGCTATTGTTTCCATTGTTTACGAGGCTTTCATTACAGGAGGGGTCACGATAATTACTGAGCTCTTCAATTGGCCTGTCCAGCATTTGCTTTGAGTTTGATGGTTGATGCCATTTGCCTTTGGGGTTATGCTGAGCTTCCTTCGGTCACATTCCTTCGGACCCCAAAGAGCTGATGGCTTTTCAACACCGCTTTCTTTTTCTTGTTCTCCCTTGTAGGTATCATCGACGATAACGAGAGAAATGATGATGCCCTGCATGAACAGACTTGAATCTGTGGATTTTCTCCCTGCGTGGCTTGGGTGGATTGGTGGGTTTGGTGAAGAGCTGACTACAGCTGACTGTGTACGAAAACTAAGGTCAAAGCATAGGACTTCTCCATATCGTGAGCGCTAGACAGAGGAATTACAGTAGCACGCCTGAGGGGGCAAGAAAACACCGAACCTGATGCAGGTGTCAAAATAAACTTAGCAAAGAGTACCCTAAACTTAGGCTAGATTTACCTAATATTTTCATCACTTAGGGTCAAAGTCCTGAGTTTTCTTTCCTCCCCTAGGCAGGCACCTAGAATTGTGTGGTTGTCGGATCCATTCCTTCGACCTCCTTCGCCCATTTTCCTCTGGAGTATCCATTCTTTGGGATCTCGTCATTGTGCAGCATAAGACGTCTTGGGCAAAACAAACATGCTGTAGTGCCATACTAAACTTTGGAAAGTGTGAATAGCTACCTATGGAATAGAGTTGAGAAAGCCTCTTGTTGAGTTGATGGTGTAGATCCATATCAGTTGTTATTCTCAAGAAGAGGGGATCACGACATTTCAATAGCCTTTTTCTCCATGGGAATGCACGGGCTGCACCACCCGCAGGGAGAAATGGCCGAAGCGTATTTATGAGAATCGGCAGTTTTTGTGCTTATCTCTCGTTCTCTAAAATTAAAAGCCACCAACACGGGGTTTGTTGTTATTTGTTACACGAGCCTCACCAGCTTTTTGAGTTGGCTATTGATCATTATTCTCGTGTATTCTCACCCTCCACGAGTATGACCGACCGAGTACAGACAGTCTCGTCTCTCGGCAAATGGATCATGGCACCATCCTCAAAATGAGGCACAAGGAACTACAAGGTCCGTCACCTACTGAACAAAGGAAGAACGGCGTTTCTGGCACCGTAGGCCCTTCGAATGCTGCTGTAACTAATGCTAATGGGCGGACTGAACCAAAAGGTCTCACGGCCTCCGATTGATCAACCCCCTTTTTTTGGAAACTCGAACGGTCGGTCGATGGGGCTCCGTACAGGCCCGGACAGCGCTGTGTCAGATCGTATTCCGCCAATGAGACCTGTGGCATGCGCTGTGGGGGAGATTCCTAAGCCCCCCTGCAGTCAAGGTTGGTTGAGGTGCGTGTCGCTCGGTGGCGTAACTTGCGCCCCCTGAAAGCCCGCCCGAGCCAGAGCCTGTTCCAGGAGGGGAGGGGAGGTACCTGTGGAGTGCATCCCGGCACCAGAAGGGTTCATCCGAGAGCACCTTCCCTCTTTGGGCTCTCAAAACGAGTTCAGGGGGTGGTCTTGGTACCCCATCTCAGGGGTCGGTGCCTCAGGCAGTTGCATCTACCGAGCCGTGCCCCTCCAAACTCTCAACGTGTCCTCAAGAGATAAAGAGGGCCTGTCCGCTCCTACCAAGCTGTCCTTTTCATTCCCAAACCGACAAGCACCCAGCAAATAAAGGTCGCTAACACAGAGTGAACACGCTGTCCTTTATTCCTCTTGAAGCTCCTTTCCAACCATCACCTGACCTGACTCATTGTTGGATCAAGGCAGACGTAATCAAGGTCTAGTCACTGACTCACACTTTGGCCAAGTCTTGTGATGGTGGAACATCGCTGCCTGCGCCTCATACACTCCTAACAACGGCTACTTATCCCCATAATATCCATCCGTTGCTGTATTCAACTTCATCTTCTCCATTCAAACAAACCACACATCACCTAATCACATACACAAACCAACACAAAATGAAAATGGAGCAACAAGGATCACCAGCTTCCCAATTCTTCCAGTCTCCAGCCGACTCTCTCATGTCAGCTCCTGAAGACGCCTACACATCACTATTCGCCGCTACCACTCCTAGCGGAACTTCAACAGTGAACCCCATGGACATGTTGACACCAAAGTCCTACAACGATGACTCCCTACTACCAATGATCAAGCAGGAGGAGGGCCTTGGATCAACACCTTCCCCTTCTCCAGCCCCTGAGAAGAAGACCACCAAAAAGAGAAAGTCATGGGGCCAAGTCCTCCCCGAGCCCAAGACAAACCTCCCTCCTAGGTATGAACCAACGACAACTGAAGATGATGTCACGAACGGTTCCACTAACTCCCCACACAGAAAGCGAGCAAAGACCGCTGATGAAAAGGAGCAACGCCGGGTTGAGCGCGTTCTACGGAACCGTCGCGCAGCTCAGTCCTCTCGCGAACGCAAGAGGCTGGAGGTTGAGCAGCTCGAGCAGAAGAACAAGGACCTTGAGGCTGCCATCCAACAGGCTGAGCAGATGAACGCTAGGCTCATGGATGAGCTTGCACAGATGCGCAAGGCCAATGGTCTTCCCCCTCTGTCCCAGGAGCTCTTCACCCCCCAGACAACACACCAGCCAGCGGAGACCATGGTATCTCCCAACGCCACTGTCGACCCAATGGCACTATCACCCTGTCTATCACCCGTCCCCGAAGAATCTGAAGAGACCATCAAACAGGAGCCGGCCAAGGAGACAACCCTGGAACAATCTGAAAACACCTCTCCCGACCTGACACAACGTCCTGCTGCGATGTTGTCCGACCTGCAGTGTCACATGTCGGCGGAGGTGTTGAAGACGTTCCTGTCCCAGTCACCCACAACCTTGACTCGGCCAACATTGGCCTGGCTCCTGCCACTTCAGATGACACTCTTTTCAGCTATGGCGGTTCTGAATTTCTGTCAGCGTCCATTGACACAGATCGTTATCTCATCGAGAACGGGCATCTCTCTTCACCCTACTCCTCAGCTTCTGACGAGCCTTATCTGGAGTTTGACACGTCGCCATTCACCCTCGACAACAGCTTCAACGACGAGTTGTACAACACCTTCATCAACGACACGGACAACGGCATCTCGGTGGAGCTCCAGAAGCCAACTGACGACGCCGCTGCGATCCTCAGCGACGAGTTCCGCATCTACGAACTTGAGAATCAAGTCTCTTCAGAAAATCCTATCCAGCAGCCCCTCCCTGGCGCGTCCTCTATCGGATGCGACGTTGGTGGCATTGCGGTTGGTAACTGAGGGACGCGATTCCAGGGTCGAGAATGCGGAGCGCGATACTGAGGATTCGCGCGGCCAAGACGAGTTGGTAAGGTGCTTATCCGAGATTACTTTGCCGTCATGGGAACGACTGTTGACACTCGCCTGGGCTATTAAATGTTGGGTGGCCCTCAATCTGAATGAAGCTGACCAAGTCCTCGACTCTGAGACTCGCTCCCCACTAAGTGTACATCAACCAAGCAAGAAGGCTGCTTTGTCAGTGATACTGGAGGAAGAGAACAATCGGGCACAGACATTATGAGAGTTATATCCATGATGATCTACCGTAATGTGATAATGTTTTGATTTGGGAAAAAAACAGGTGCAAGGCGCAAAGGATCAATGTCCCAGGGGGGACTGGCAATAAAGCCTAACCAGATAAATCTTTTGTGTAACAATACAATAACGCTCAAAGAAGCGCATGACCAACAATATCTGTTCCGTTCTCGTGATACTTGCCTTTCCTCGAATACCGACTTAAGCGTTGTTAGGTCTCTGCTGTCTGGTTTGCAGTCATGTTGGTATTTTATACTTTTATGTTGAGCGTGAAAAACTTTAGGCTTCTGATAGAGATGCAATGAAGCGGAGCTAGTCAGTATCAAGAGTCACAATTGACTTTGGCTTCGTTTAGGGTTGTTCCCACGTCTGGTTTTCTATCTCTTTCATCTGGACATATCTCTCCGTCTGGTAGTCTCTAGTATGATTTCGAGTCGAACAAAGATGATTCCTGAAAATGAGAGCATAATAGCTATTTATGCTAATGTAAAAACAGGATGTGCTTGGTATTCGATCCAATTGATGTTGAATGACATCCACGAGTGCAGAGACAGAAACTCGTGCTTACCCATACGCCCAAGCCAAATCATCATAATGCCTTTTGATACTTTACCATAACCCATCCATTTCTTGCATAGCCGCCTCTTCATCATCAAAGTTATTCGTCTCCTTATCTTTCGACACTTCACTCTTCTCTTTGCTCGTCTGATCATGACTCTCAGCTTCGGCCATGAGCGCATCTAGATCATCATCATCCGGTTCCACCCGTGCTGCTTCTGGTTTCTTTGCTGTATCTTGAACTTCTGCCTCGGCCATTAGAGCATCCAAGTCATCGTCATCTGGCTCTGCTGGTGTAGGTTTTGTTTTCGCCTTTTGAGCTGCGTCGTGGCTTGCTGCTTCGGCAATGAGAGCCTCGAAATCGTCATCTTCTGGAACGTCGTTGCGGATTGGGACAATTGGTCCTGCGCTTCGTCTTAAAGCTCGTGGTGTAGCATCATAAAGATCGTCGTCGTCTGGTACGCCTGGGTCTCGCTCTGGTGTCTTTGGTATTGCAGGTTCTGCTGGCCTTGTACCCTCCTGCTCTGTAGGTCTTGATTCATCGTTTTCACCAAACAGGCCATCCTCTTCCTCATCATCTGCAGTTCTGTCTTTGGGTTTGCTCTCGTTTATGTAATCGTTTCGTGCAATCATGACTCGTTTCTTGTGGCCGGCCTTTTCGACCATGGTGAGGGCGTCGAGGAATTTGGCTTTGGGGAAGAGGTCGTCTAGCCATAGTTGATAGAAAGATAAAAGTCGGGAGGCGTCAGAGAACTGGATTGATTGTTAGTATGATGTAAATGTGCTAATTGGCAGATACTGGCATACTTCATGGCCTTTGCCCTTGATCTTGAGATCCTTCGCCGTTTGCCTTAGCTTGGGAATACCCTTCGGTCCAAGTAATCTACATATTGTCAGAATCACTTGAGATCTCGCAGTATTATTTTTCCATACCTCTCTTCGTCGAGTTTCACATTGGGAACTCGTGCCCTCTTCTTGACATCAACTTCTTGATCAATACCAAGACCAGAATCTGGCTCTTTTCGCTTCTTGTTGGCGGCTTCTGGGGGTGGTGATGCAAAGGGGTCATCAGAAAAGTCGTCAACATCGTAGTTATCAAGCCCATTGGCGGGATCTGAGTCTAGTGTAGGCATTTTGTATTGTGATTGTATCTTGAAGTCTGGTGAACTTAATTGCTTAACGCGTCTTGAACTGGGGAGACGCGTCGAGAGCTTAATTGATTCTCAACCCCACCATCCGCCACGTGACCAATCACCGCTAACTTTGATGAGCTGACCAAAACACGTGATATACATCCTCAGGCATCCAATACGGCTCCAGCTTCTGAATGTACCGAAACCGACGACCTCGAAAGGCCTTTGTGATAGAATTCAAGGAATTGACTGCCACGGACGACGCATCACACAATGGCTGAGACAGCGACAAAGCAGTCGACCCCGTCCTTTGTTGGGACCAGCAAGGTCGTTCAGACCGAGTATCCCGTAAGTGACGCTTCAATTGATGGAGCAATTGCAGTTGCTAACTGATGATGTTATAGCTCATTGATAACGATCCGTACGTAACCTGAACCCCTCCGATGCCTAGCGACGACGACGCGAATGGATTGATTTGGAGAGGAGGATCGAATTGTCTGGGTTGGAGTTGGGTTGAGCTTTGCTGATGCTCGGCAGTCACTTCAAGCGAGTCGTGGGTTATGCCCGTACATCCGATTACATCGCCGGCACCGTCGCCGCTGCTTTTGCTCCTACTGCTCTCTACGCCCTCGAGAAGTTCGCTCCCTCACATGTAGGAAAGGGTGGTTTCCCCAAGGCCATGCGACTGGCTGGTGGTGTTGGTCTCTTGGGTGGTTTCCTCTACTTCTACCAGCGATCAGCCCGTACGTCTACAGCAACCGAATGATATATCGACCAGGTGTACTAACCTGAATAGTCCGATTTTACGGCGCAACCGAGAATGCCCGCGAGATTGAGATGGATATGCGCGAGATGGTCGATAAGGTCAAGAACGGTGAGCCTCTATATGGCGTCAGCCGGCTAAGCCCTCATCTTCAGGGCGTTGCTGCCCGACAGAGCAGATACTCTGCTCTGTTCCTTAGCACAATTCCTTGGTTCAACTTTGTCAACCATAACCAGCATGGTGTCGACACAGCCAAGTACTACCAGCAGGCTGAGCGGGAACTTGAGGCTGAGCGCTCGTAGGAGAGGAGGGAGGGAGAGATTAAGATTTACGGAGAGCGAGAGGAGGATTGGATGGGAAAAGAGGTGTATATTACCAGCGGAGGTGGGCATTGCCTCGACGGCCTGGCGAGTTTATTTGTGAGATGGAAATAGATTCCTTGAACCATTTGTTTGTGTCATATTGGTGTTTTTATGATGACCTTGACAACATAGGCTTGGGATGAGGTAAGTTGATTAGCTTCAGCATCTTTGCTATACAAGGAGTGAGCTGCACTGGACTTGATAGGCCTGGTATATCTCTGCTATCTAACAGTCATGATATGGTAGAGGCACGTAGACGCTGGATGACCATAACCACATACCTCATTCTATGGACTGTCACTACCAGAGTCTCATTCTCTTCACATTGTTCTCACAGTTTGAACATGAGATCGATGTTTCTTAGTTGAGACATGTTATGTCCGTTTAACGCCTGTTCTAGTGAGAGATAGCTAGGCCAACTTGACCGGCTCACTCTTCTACTTCAACGGAGATACGGGCCAAGAATACAAATATGGCAAGAGGCTATTCTCAACTAGTTATTTATATACAATTAGTGTCAGAATGTAACATTCTCATGACAAGTCCGTTTACTTCCGCCCAAATCCGTCCCTCATGATCAGTTTCTATCGGGGACCGGCCAACTCCGTCTCTGGACCACAAGCTCCTGACCAATCAAAGCTCGTGTAATCGACGTTTCTCCCAAAGAACACAGATTCAATCCGCAACAGCTTCCCAAAGTGGAACACCAGGAAAAGAATTTTTGTCTTTTCACTGAATCCTCACTTTCTCATTTTTTCTCATATATATTCTGCGGCGAAATCTGGACAAATTGAGGGCTGATCGTGGTGTCGACATCTGCTTATCTCACCTGTCAGCGTATCTCAGTCACTCTAAACGAACTACCTCTCAAAATGGCTTCAACAGAACAATCCATGGATCTCCCCGTGATTGACCTCGATGTCTATCTAAACAACCCCCTAGACTCAGAGGTCGTTCAAGAAGAATGCAGAAAAGCAGCCAACGCCCTCATCACATACGGTGCTCTCGTCCTTCACGACAGCCGAGTCTCAGAGGACGATAACTCAACTTTCCTCGACATTCTTGAAGATTACTTTGCTCAACCCGAAGAGGTCCTCAGAAAAGATGAGAAGCCTGAGCTGAGCTATCAGATCGGTGTCACATTAGAGAATACTGAAAAGCCCAAGTGTGCTGTTGATGAGCCATGTCTTGATGTCATTCAGAGATTAGACCCTTCGCAAAGACCGTTGGACATCTCAGCTCATTCACCCGATCCCAAGTGCAGATTCTTCTGGAGAATGAGCGAGCAACCCCCATTTGAGACCGAGTTCCCTGGATTGAACGCCCCGAACGTGGTCCCTGAAGCCCCTCATATCAGGGACCGATGGGAGCCAGTCATGAACCAGTGGGGAACGTCCATGAAGAGCGCGTATGTTAGTAGATATCCTCTCTTGGATACTTAATACTGACCGGCTGAACAGTGTATCCAAATTGGCAGAGATGACTGCTGTTGGTCTAGACCTACCAGCTCAGTTCTTCAGTGATGCTGGAAAATACGGGTAAGTACTCTCGAAAGATCATTAGCAGTCACACAAATTCACATGTACAAACAGACCTCATCTTCTGGCCCCAACAGCTTCAGACCTGGTCAAGTACGGTGAGAAGAACACTATCTTGGCCGGCTTCCACACAGACCTCAACTTCCTCACCATCCATGGCCGCTCCCGCTACCCTGGTCTTCACATCTGGGCACGCAACACCGGAAACCGTATTGCCGTCAAGATCCCACCTGGAAACTACCTTCTCGTCCAAGCGGGCAAGCAGATTGAGCACATCACTGGTGGACTCATCAAAGCTGGCTTCCACGAGGTTATTGTGAATGAGAAGACCATTGAGACCATCGAGAAGAGG